TGATGTGGTATGGTACATGGCTTGAGAAGAGAAGGTTTGGGACAGAGCCAATGGGGAATGTGATGGAGAGTCAATGAAACAGGAGTTAAAGATTGGCCATGCAGGGGTGAAGGCCCAGTTCAAAGTAGTTAATATCTATTCGTAGCATATCTCCTGCAAGAGCAGTGTTACTTCCTCTAGTGGCATTCACCGCCTGTGCCAAGTGCCCAGTAAAAGAGACAGGAAGGTCTATAGGAAGGAGCTCATAGGAGGGAAAAGATTCCCATGGGCTGGGGAGGTCAGGCACAACTTCTTTGAGAAGGTAAGACAGCTTGACTTGAGCCTTGAAGGATGAGGAAGATTTTCATAGGACAGGATGGAGAAGCGAGCATTCAGGAAGGGAGGACTCTGACAATAAAGGCCTGGAGGTAAGACCATCCAAAATGATTAAGGAGGCAGTGAAAAGACCAGTCATATGAAGTATTGACTAGCTTTTGACATTAAGTGGACCCAGCCTCATCAATATGAGTATTAGAATATATGAAGAGTGAGAGAAAAGACTGGATAGGCAGGTTGGCACCAGATCACAGAGGGCCTTGAATGCCACAATCAGTCATCTAAATTTTATCTTCTTTGTAATGAGGAGCTATTAAATGTTTTTTTTTGAACAAGGAGTAACAAAAGAAGTGTGTTTTAGGAAGCATGGTTTATTGTCTGAGTACAAGATGAATTAGAAGGAGGATTAGAATCAGGGATACCAGTTAGGAGACTATTGCAATAGTCTGGGTAATAGATAATAAGGATTTAGGTGGTATGGCAGAAAGGGCACTGACTGTCATGAGGGGACCTAGGTTCAAAGCCCATTTCCAGCATGTATCTCGTGCACAACCTTGGTCAACACTAAACACCGATTATTATGTGTAAAGCAATGTGCTAGGAGCTGGCGATGCAAAGACAAAAATTAAACAAATCACTCAACTTCCCTAGACCTTGGTATATTTATCTGAATCTCCTTCATCTCCAAGATCACCCTCGTTCTATCTTGTATCTTGTAGGTACAAATTTGCTTAAATCATGTCTCCTCCCACTAGAGAATAAACTCCTTGGGTCAGGGACTCTTTTCACCTTTCTTTGTATCTGTGGTATTTAGCACAGTGCCTGGTTTACAGTAGGTGCTTAATAAATGCTTCTTGATTGATTGATTCATATGCAACAAAAAGGTTGGACTCAGTGGTCTCCAAGGTCCCTTCCAGTTCTGGATCTAGGATGCCGTGATCCTGTCCCTTAGGTACTCAGGGAATGGCGTCTGAAATGACAAGGACAGAAGAGATATCAGAGATGTCAGGGTGGAATTGACAGGACTTGGTACATGGGAGGTGAAGGAGAAGGAAGAGCCAAAGATAATTCTGAGACTTCAAGTCTCGTTGAGGGGGAATGCTGCAATGACATTAGCAGAGAAAGGGAAGTCAGGAGGGGGGGGTGGGATGGGGAGGTGATGCATTTATTCTGAGACATGTTGAGCTTGAGCTGCTGGTGAGACCCCAAATGGAGGACTCGAGCCTGCAATATAGGCCTAGAACCCAGGGAAGAGACTGGGGTCAGCTTCTTAGTACCAGCACTCTCTCCTGTCTCATTCCTTCCCCATAGAGAAGGAGAGGTATCCTTTACTCCTGGCCAACTCACATCCAAGGTAGCTAGATAGAACAGTGGATAGAATGCTGGACCCAGAATCAGGAAGACCTGAGTTCAGGTCCAGCCTCAGACATTTGCCAGCTGTGTGGCCCTGCCTGCTTCCGTATCCTCATCTATAAAATGGTGCTGTACAAATGCTAGCTATGATTATTAGTTATATCTGTGTTTTTGGTCCCATTACCTCCTGCTTCCTCCAGAACTTTGCTCTAATAGTCAAGCCCTATGCCTTATGTATCTTCAGTTTCTCTCTCTATTGGCTCTTTTCCATCTGCCCACTGACATGCTCAAGTCTCCTTAATCAAAAAGTCTCCCCTGTGCCCCTTGGGTCTAGCTCTCTTCTCCCCTTCGTGGCAAAACTCCAAACTACACCTGACCCCTCAACTTCCTCATCACTCACTGTCTCTTTAACCCCTGTTAATCTGCTGAAACTGCCCTCTCCAAGGTCACCAATGACTCCTTCTTTCACTGCCAAATACAATAGATTTTTAATCAATCCTCATCTTTAACCACTCTTCAGCATCGACACAGTGGATCCTCTTTCTAGATATTCTCTTTTCTCTTGGCTCTTGAGATACCACATATTCTGGGTTCTGCTCTTACCTCCTTTCTTCAGTGGTTCCTCATCCTCCCCCTGGGCCCTTAAACATTATTCCAGAAATTCTGAGTGTTTTTGTCTTGGGCTCTCTTTTCCACCTTCGATGTTCAGTCCCTTGGAAATCTCATTGACTCCAAAGACTTCAATTGTCAGCTCTAGATAGATGACTCTCAAATCTGTTTTCAGCCCTGCCCTCTCTTCTAACCTCCAGACTCACTTCTCCCCCCTGGATGTTCCATCAGTCTTCTAAGGATTCCATTCCAAACCTTATAATTGGCTGAATCTCAACTTATTGTCCAAATATTTCAGCTGTGTCTTTACCTTTGGCCCCAGTTCTTTCATCTTTATTAATGTTTCTATTTTCCCTGGTCATTCAAGCTCAACTTGCAGGGCATCCCTAGTTGTCATGTATATTCTGCCACTGGACCCAGATGGCTCCGGAGATGAAAGTGAGGCTGGTGACATTGCACAGCCCTTCCTCACTTAAATCCAGTTCACATGCAATTCACCTTTCTGATGTCATGGTTCTCTTTGAAAACAAAGGACGAACAACAACAGCAAATTCAACTCAAAGCATGAACCTAGGGAAGACGCTCAGCTGACCTACAAGGTTCCTGAGTCCGCTTGGCTCCCTCAGCTCAGAGCTCCGCTGCGCACAATCCCTGCTTCCTTTTTTCTCTTTCTGCTGTTCCTATGATGACTGGTCACCAAAGTCTGATGTGTACCCCCCTCTTTCCTTTCTCTCCCCATCTCTAATGCTCTAGACCATTAGTGTCAAACTCAGAAATAGAAACAGGGGGTCACTAAACTACACGTAAGAATCCTTGTGGGTCACATATTATCTTAGAAAAGCAGACAGGTCTATATATTTCTTTTTCAATGAATTTATTTTGTTAACTATTTCCCAAGTAATTTTAATCTGCTTTGGGCCATACTCAGTAGGGTTGGGGGGCCAGTGAAGCAGACACATGTTTGACACCTCTGCTGTAGACCATAAACTTCTGGCATTTATGGCCAAGGGCATGGAGAGGGAGGTCTTACCAGGTTCTCCCAGGTACAGTTTCTACAAGAGAATAGGCAAATTCCATAATAATGTACTAAGTGAAGTTATATGACACTCGGATAAAAAAGAAAACCTTCTAATCCTAGACTAAGCAACCCTTACGCTTACTTTGGGAAGACCTCCAGGCCTGCAGAGAGGAGGGCAGTTCTGCCTCAGCTTGTAGTAGCCACTCCTTCCTGGCTCCAGAAAGGAATGGAGTCCTAAGCCCATTTACTATCCTTCAAGACCTCACTTGCTGTCAGTCAATCAAGGACCCTCCTGAGAGCTGCCAGGGGTTTGGTGCTGTGCCACATAACTACATTAACTCTGAAATAACTCAAAGAAAAAATGGGAGGAAGAACATCCTGGATAGGGCTCTCATTCTCTCAAAAATAGAAAGCCAGACTCACAGAGGTGGAATGGACCTCAGGGACCATCTAATCTACCCTCTGTCTGAACAAGACATCCCCGACAAGTTGGCCACCTTTTTCTTGAAGACCCTCCAGAGGCAGTCTGTGCCACATTGTTAGGAAGTGTTTTTCCTGACACCATGCCTAAATATGCCTCTCAACTTCCCCATCCCCAACTATTACTGCCCAAACAGGTCAGCCCCCAATTCTCCAAGAGCTTCCTTTCCTTCAGTGTAACTCAAACTCAATCTGTCCATGGCCACCACTAACGGAGAGGCTTTCATTACCACTGGTATGGACTCCTACGGTAGCCTCCTAATGGAACTTCCCACCTCCGATTCCCTGTTCTAATCCATAGTCCGTACTGCTACCAAGGGAAATCCTGCTTCTTATGTAGATGTCGTCATATCACTTCCTTTACTCAGAACTGCTCAATGACCCTAGCGTCTCTTGAAAGTTCAAACTTCCTTTCTTGGCATTCAAGGCTCGCCACGAGCTAGCACTACCCAGCCTTTCCACTCTTATCTCACACTGCTCCTCTGTCTCCTGAACATGCTCAATATTTTCTAGGGTCTGTCTTGTTGCCTGTTCTTCTTCCTGGGTTTGGACTTTCCTCTTTCTTCTTCACACATTGGATGCCTACCCATCCTTTAAAATCTAGCCTGAATAGCACCTCCTCCAGGAAGCTTGCCAGGACATTTCCTCTCCCTTTCCCTTGCACTCTGCATCTTCTTGGTGCATACATCATGCATTATTTTGCATTGGTCATCAGTCATTTATTAAGGGCTCACTATGTTCTAGACACTGTGTTAATCACTGACTTCTCCTTGTATGTGCCCCATCCCCCTAATGGAATAGGAGCTTCCTGAGTACAGAAGCTGTATCTGAACCCTACATGGTTCTCATCACCTAATGGGGCTCTTCCCTTTACAAGGGTTTTCCAAATGTTTGTTGACTTGAATGGCAGCCATTCCCCTAGTGGAGCCCATGGTGTAGCCTTGATTACCAAGGGGGGATGGAGAGAGAGAAGAGGACCAAGAAGAAACTGGTGGACAGGGCTCAGAAGGGGGCTGGTGAAGAAAACAGGGGTGGGCAGAGAGTTCAGAGGAAGACCAAGAGCTTTCAGGTAGGGCTAGAATGGGACGGGGAGCGTAGCCAGAAGAAGGGCTCACAGGTAACCAGTGCTACTGAGAATCTAGGGAGGGTGGGTCTAAGCACAGGCCCCTGGGAGGGGGCGGAGGCCACTGCCTGACCCTTTGTCACAGTCTTGCTTCTTTGTCAGATGTCTGCTCCGGTGGAGGCCCAGAGCTCTGGGTGCAGCTCCCCACTGCCTTCGGCAGACAGGTAATGCCACTGTGTCCAGACTGGGAGGAGGGGGGAAGGGATGAGGGCTATGAACACTGTCCACATATGCTTGTCTCACTCTCTCTGCCCCTCCGTCCTGGCCCACTCAGGTCCTGGACTCAAAGCGAGTGGCAGGCCTGGTACCTGGACGTGAGAGCCCAGGTGTCGTCACTGCGCTGTGGGCTGGAAGTGTTGGAACAGCAGCTACCCCAGCCTCTAGTGAGTCTCTGGAAGACCCCCCCACACACACACACACATACGTGCCCCACCATGAGTCCTAGCAGGCTCCACCTTCAACCGGCTCCCTGTAGCTCTGGTTTTAAGGTCGCTTCTGGCTCTAAATCTCCGAGCCTGTGATCCTTCCTGGCCCCTGATGAGCCCCTATTCCCCCACCCCTGCCCTAGACTGTCCCCCGGAGAGGTTCTTCAGCCCCTCCTCTCCAACCTTCACCTTGCTGTTTCTCCTCTTACTCCTGGACTATTTCCTCTCCTATCCATGACTAGGGTCACCTCAAGCCATTCCAGCCTACCCAGCTTGGCCCTTTGGGGTCCTATAGTAGGAGAGTAAATAGACCCTGGGTGGTTTACTGGGGAAGCTACTGTGCTTGCCTATCCTAGACCTCCCCCCTCTTCTCCCTCCTGGCTATTCTTCCCCTCCCCCACATCCCCCAACTGGCTGGCATCCCCCTCCCCTCCCTTTTTTGCCCTGCTGGCCTGCGAGGCTGAGGCCCCTTGGCGGGTTTCCCAGGAAACGGGCTGGCTGGTAGGGGAGTTGGGAAAGAGTTAAGGGGCTGGCCTGTTGTGTGCTATGTGCTGGGCTGGGGGGGGTGGGTCAGGGTTGGGGAAGGGGTCAGGGGAGGAGGGGATGGGAGGGGCGGGGCTCCATCTGGCGGGCTGCACCTTAGGAAACACTGAGCCAAGATAGCCGAACTGACAGACTGATCGTGGGCTGGAAGGCTGGTGGGAGACCAGAGAGCTGTGGGCTAGTGGGGCTTGGGGGTTGAGAGGGGAAGCCAGACAAGGCTGAGCATGGAGTAGGAAGTCCCCATTGGGCAGGCAGGCAGGCCTGAGCAAGGGTGGCTACAGGGGCCCAGGAAGAGTGGGGGCCCAGGTTCCAAGCTCTGGCTTCCCTCAGCCTAGCCCTGGGCCCTTTGGCCTGGTTCCACCACCCAGTGGCCCTATCAGGAGAGTCTGGAAAGAGCCAGCCCTCCTCCATGTACCCACCTCCTAACGGTCAGTCAGCCTGCTTGCCCACGTGGCCACCTGTCAGCTCTGCTGAGCGGGAGGTAGAAAAAAGGGACTGGGCTCTGGGTCTTGAGGGCTCTTGGAGTGACAGAGACTACTGCCCTGTCCTGAGACGTCTCCTTTTTGAAGTCCTCTGGTATGTCCTCTGGTTCTCTGGGACTTCCCTGTCTGGGAGCTGGGGGAAGGGGAGTCAATGCAGAAAAGCAGGGGCGGAATGGGATGGGATGTGGTGGGATGGGAGAGAAGCCTGGTGGAAGGAACTCTAGGGGAAAGTAAACCTTTGCAGGTCCTAGAGGAAGGGGGCCATTGAGGAATGGGAATCTGAGAGAGAGATACAGAAGAAGGGAGAGGGCTGGAGAAATAGCATGAATCAGGGGTGATGGTTTCCTCTGCAGATGCCCCATGTGCCCCTCTGTGCCTTCTCCAGCAGGGGCTGGTAACTGAGAAGTGTCCTAACTGCCTCAGGGCCGGACAAGGGGAGGGAAGTTGTTTATCTAGATCATGCCTTTTCAGGGTATGTTTAGATGTGGTCAGGAATGGTGGGATTATGCTTCAGACACAGCATGCTTTCCATGTCTGCACCTAGGGTGCTCTTGGATGTCTGACCTGTTCTGCTGCTCTTCCCGCTCTACCACATGGGTAAATAAATGGGTAGGACAGGCTAGTGGTGTGCTGGTGTCCTCCCACCCCAAGTCTTTGTCTGGCGGCTTAATATTCATTTTGCTGTTGTGTCATAGGCTGGATCCTATACCCCACTTAAGACTGCCATGGGTAACCCAGCATCCAGACCCAGCTGCCTGGGGGAGAAGGGCCACCGCTCGGAAGAGTTTCTGAAGGGTCAAGGGGGCAGCACTGGGCCAGGGCCAGGGCCTGGATCTGGAGCTGGCCTCTGTCACCCCCCCATCCCACCACCTCCTGCTGCCCCCCTTTCGCCAGGGAGCCCATGGGCCTGGAGGGCCCATAGTACTCGGGAGGTGACAGAAGTGACAGAGGTCACAGAAACAGTGGTGACAGAAATCGTGGAGGTAACACGCTACCCAGGGGGCAGGCAGCCCACAGTCACCCGAACAGTGACCATGCTGAGTGAGAGTGCCGGACCACTTGCCCCGGTGAGTACTGGTCCCAAGGAACTCATTGGGGTGTGGGGAGGAGGTTTGAGCAAGAAAGGTATTATTATTATTAGTTGGGACATTTGGAGTTTAGGCAGCTGTTCCTGGTCCTTTCTCTAGGCACCCCAGTGGGCAGCCCTCCCTCCTGCTGAACCCCCTGAGCCCCCTGATTCTCTCCAGAGCTGGCTGGATGACATGGAGGAACTACAGTCAGGACAGGGGCCCCCAGCAGCTGAGGTTAAGGTAGCCAATGCCCAGCTGCAGGAGCAAAAGGTAGGAAGCCAAGGGAGCAGGGGGCAGGGGGCAGGGGAGGGGAAGACATGGTGACTAAGAGGAGGGTGGGAGAAGGGAGGTGGCTGTGCAAAGTAGCCTCTTGCCTTTGCAGGCTCTGAGCCTGGCAATTTAAATATTCTGGGCCCAGGGATCACTGACAGTGATTATAGATGCCTCCCCTTTAAGTAAACACTGCCCAATTTACCCATCCACCCCCTCCCCCCACTTGGAATGGTGGTAGAGAGGCATGCTTTTTACTGTATTTCATTCATTTGTTCATTCATTCGATACATGTGCTGGGAGCTGGGTGAGCGCTGGGAGAGAGAAACAGATGCATAAGACAAGATGTCAGTCTGCACTTGGGAGAGGTGATGAGGGTGATGGAGTGGTAGCAACAGAAACAGAAAGGAGGGCTGGAACTGAAAAGCTTTGAGATAAGACAACACTCATGAGGCTGTTGAGGAATGAGCAAGAAGGAGAGGGCTTAAATGGATAACCTGGAGATTTGATGATGAGTGGCACCAGTTAATAGAGAGAGAAAAGTGAGAACAAAGAGTAGGTGGTTGGCTTTTTTATGGGTGGAGCTAGAGAAGATAAGAGGAATTAGTGCTGAAAGGAACTCTAGAAACCACTAGATCCAAGTGTATCATTTTACAAACCAAAAAACTGATGCCCAGAGGGAGGGAAGGGACTTGTCCAAGGTCACACCAAAATTATGAGTTTTGTTGGGGATTATATAAATAATTATACACAAAAGTGGAGCCACGATCCTGTGTTTGACACTGGGTTCCTAGACTTGCCACTTACTGAGCTAATATTTTACTGGTGATGGCCTAGTGATGGTGGTAGTGGCCTAGACCACCATCTTCAAGGTCTGAGGGAAGGCGACCTTAAACAGATATTGTTCCCTCCCCCCACCCCCCCAGCTTCTTTCTGCCCCTTCTTGGGACTAAGAAAATCTGCTCTGTCTTCTCTGATTGCCTCAAGTCCAGGCACCAGACAGAGACATGATAGAGTCAAAAGAACTTCGTCTGTAGTCAAGCCCCATAAGGCAGGAAACAGAAATAAGACAAGTATAGCCACAAGCAGGGTGTTCAGAGGGTCAGCCCACAGTCAGCGACATTTGCAGCGATTTCCAGACCTCATGCTGTATTTTCTAAATGTCTTCCTGATTTTTTTTCCTCTCTTCTTAACACCTGGCTCCTGGGCTCCCCCTTTCCCTTCCTGCCATTCCCTCTCACTCCATCTCCTGGCTTGGAAGATTGGCAGCTCCCCTCCTCTTGACTACCCCTCCCCTTTTGGCAACATTGCCAATGGTTCAGTTTTGACCTTCCTCCTTTTTCTCCCTGTATGTGGAGCTGCTCTCCCTCCTGTCTGGGGTAGGCAACAACAACATGTTTCTGAACTCCAGCACCATGGACAAAGTCCCAGAAATGCACATTGAGTCTGAGGACAGCCAGGAGGTAGAGAGATGTCTAGTAGGCAGTTGAAAAATGTGGGTCTGAAGACTAGAGAGGGGTTAGGGCTGCAGTTAGGGGCATGGGAGTCTTTAAAATCTCTGAATAATAGATCTTAGAGTCAACTAGTCCAATCTTTAGCCAGATCATGAAAGCAGTCTAGTGGCTGATTTTCATTCTATCTTGTCTGTCCTTTGTTCCTGAAGAGGACCATGGCATCAGGAAGGTGATGCCATGACTTGCAAGTGAATTGGATTTAAGTGAGGGAGGGCTGTGCAAAGTCACCAGCCTCACTTTCTCCTCCAGAGCCATCTGGGTCCAGGATGGCTGGAGATGGTCCCTTTTCATTCTATCTAGCTTCCACCTGAAGCCTAGTGGAGAGAATGCTAGACTTGTAGTCAGGAAGACAAACATGAATTTGAACCCTGCCCCTGACACTTATTAACTATGCACCCATATGCAGTTTCTTCATTGTTTAGCCTCAATCTCTTCATCTGTAAAAAAAAAAAAAGGAAGATAAAAATGGCCCTTTTTTTGTTACAATAATCAAATAAGATCAAATTGGCAAGCTGCCATGTTTGTTAAATTGCCATTATTTCCTCAGTTGTAAAACTGAGGGGATTGAACTAGATTACAGGGGTGGGAAACCTGCAGCCTTAAGGCCACATGTGGCCTTCTAGGTCCTTAAGCGTGGCCTTTTGATTGAATTCTTAAAATTTAGATTCAGTCAAAGGGCTGTACTTAAGGACCTAGAAGGCCACCCATGGTCTCAAGGCCACATGTTCCCCACCCCTGCATCACTAGAAGATCTCCAAGGGCCCTTGCAGCTCTAAATCTTTGTTCCTATTTACCTCCACTGGTGGGATGAGTTTTCTCCTTAAGGCAGCTTCTTTCATTTTGGGGCAATTCTAATTGTTAGGAAGGTTCTTCTTATGTAGAGCCAAATTCTGCCTCCCTGTAACTCCAATGTCCTTCCATGACAATCGGTGGTGGTTGAAGCCCTGGGAATGGATAAGCTCTTCCAGAGCAAGGGAGTGAGAGAGAAAGACCGAAGACAAAGCCTTGTAAAGTGCAGAAATTTAGGGGACAAGTGGCAGGAGGAAGAAAGGCTATAGGAGACTCTCCTATCTTTCTGACCACTCCTCCTATGTTAGGAGCCATCACAGACATAGGACGAGAATGGGTAATGTGTGGGGTCTGCAGCTGAAAGAAGAGAAAGAATGACAAGAAAGGTGGGAGGGGAGCTGCATTGGATTCCTCAGGGATATTTGGTGATAAGGTCCTTAGAGACCTTGGAGGGAGCAGGGGTTTTTTTCGGGGGGTAGAATATTTGTTAATAAAGTCCTTAGAGTCCCTGGAGGGAGCAGGGGTTTTTTTTTTGCCAAGGGATCAGTTAGAACTCACACTGTAAAGGGTTGAGGAATGAGTGGGTGGTGAAATAGAGGCAGTGAGTATGGATGACACATTTCCAGAAGTTTGGCAGTGGAGAGAGATGGGACAGTAACTTCAGGTTGTCACAGAGACATAGGAGAATTTTTCATTCACTCATTCATTAATTCATTTAACAAGTTATTATAAAGTGCCTACTGTGTATTGAGCATCGCTCTAGTCACTGAGGATGGTTTTCATGCAATGGGAAGGTTGTTTTGTATGAAGAAAGGGAGAGATTGAAGATGCAAGAGAAGAGATGAAGGGAGAAGGCAGGAGGGGATCAGATCAAGGACACAGAAAGAAGGGTCAGTGTCGGTAAGGGTGTGGTGCGCCTCTTCCTCTGAGACAGAAGGGAAGGAGGGGAGGATGGATAGAGACACTAGGTTCTGAGACGGAGGTGTAGTGGAGAGAGTAGGCTCCCATCAGATAGTTCCCCACCCCCAGACCTGCCCCTACCCCCTTGGAGAAGCCAAATGGGACTCAGCTCATTCACAAACCTGCTCAACCCTCTTGGGAGGAGACTTCCTGAGGGCTGAGCAGAGACCCCATCTCTGCCCTCGGCTTGGGACTGCCCACTATGGCTGCCCCAGCTCCTGAAACGGCTGCTAGAGGAGGGCAGACCCCGCATGGAGCGGCTCCTCCAGGACAGTCAGGAACAACCGACTGAAGGAGGCCAAAGTGAAGAGAGGGAAACCCTCACTAGGCTCCAGAAACAGTGGGACCAGCTGACGCAGAAGGCAGAGGCCAGGTGAGGGGCTTTGAGGGAGGGGCACCATGATGGATGGGTTGGGTAAGGGAGGACTAAGGGTAATATGATGTGGCCACTGACTGAGGCCAGGGGGAAGACGATATGTGTGGAGTGACTAAGGCTAGAAGGGGGCCTCCTGAAGCTGGGAAATACTGACGTGTGGTGGGAATGATGGAGGAGGAGTGATAGGAAGAGACTGAGGCAAAAGGAGGATTACATGAAGGAGACTAAAGTCAGAGGCTAACCTGACATTATGAGTGGGTGATATGGGCAGGGACAGTGGCTAGGTGAGGAAGCTTTGTCATTGGCAGACTACTGAGGGACTGTTTCAGGGACAGGAATGGGGGGTGAAGATTGAGGCCGGAGGGAAGATGGAGGTGAGGCAGGGGGCTGGGTTAGGTGACTCTGCTCCTCTTTTCTTCGGTCCTAGGTGGAGGCTCCTTGAACAGTTAGTACCTGCAGCTCGGAGTTTCCAAGCAGCCCGTGATACCTTTGTGGCCTGGCTGAGTCCTGTTGAGAGGCTCCTGGCTCAGCTCTGGTGGGAGGAGCCTGGGACTGGCCCCCTCCGGGGGGCCCTGGAGCAGGTTCAGGTATGAGGGAGAGTGCCATCCTCCTTGGGCCATAAAAACCCCTTCCTCAGGTACTGCCTGTTGAGCGTATAGTTCTCGTGTGGCTCTTGGCAGGGTTTATGTGAGGAAGTCCGGCAGAAGTCATCAGACATGGAGATCGTTCGAGAGACGGGTCAGAGGCTCCTGGAACTGGTGGTGGGTGAGTTAGTGGCTGAGGGGTGAGCAGGATTCTTTTGCTTTCCTGTTGCCGACTGACAGCTTGGGAGCCTCTTTACTGAGCCCAGGCCATCTTCTTCCCCCTTAGCCACTATCCTCTAAAAGGTAGGACCTCCACACTAAGGCTTCCTGTCCTGAATCACACATCTGGCTAGGAGGACTTGAGAAGATGAGGCATCATGGTGAAGATAAAAAGGTGGATTAAGATATAGAATCAAAGGACCTGAGTTAAAATTACTACTATTTGTGTGACCTTGACAAATCATTTAACCACTCTGGGCCTCCATTTTCTAAGTTGTAGAATGGAAAAGTTGGTTGGTTTAGACCAGGGGTTGGCAAATTATAGTCCCAGCCTAGTACCAAATCTGGCCTGATGCTGCTGTTTGTACAATCCCAGAGCCAAGAAAGGTTTTTATATCTTTAAAAACAATAACATTTTGTTTAAAAAACACAACCCCCCCCAGCAACCCCCAAACCCATTCTTAGCTTGAGGCCGGATTTGGCCTTGAGCTCTTAGTTTGTAGACTCCTTGACTAAATGATCTCTAAGGTTCCCTCAAAGTTCATATTCTAGTGTCTTATGAGTGTCCAGGTAGCCTGGTCACAGGTGCATATCCCAGTTACAGAATCCAGCTTAGAGACCATCTCCCTAAGGGATGTCTCTGTTGCAGGCCCCTCTGTCAAGTCCCTCTTCTCTCTGAGAAACTTTATTGGTTCTCTATTCCCTATCCCAGAGTTCTCAAGCCTCCCATGAAGCCAGGTGGCCCTGGGGCTGCGTCCTGCCCTCTTCTTGTTCCCTTCTTTTTTTGGGGGGGGTGTTTTTGGGCAATGGGGGTTAAGTGACTTGCCCAGGGTCACCCAGCTAGTAAGTGTTATATGTCTGAGGCTGGATTTGAACTCAGATCCTCCTGAATCCAGGGCCGATGCTCTAGGCAGTGCACCACCTAGCTGCCCCCCTACTTGTTCCTTTCTGATCTCTTCCAGCTTCACATCCAACCACTTCTTGTGAGGGACAGTCCCTGGGCCCTCTGTGGGCCCTGGTGCCCATCTATCTACTTCAACTCCACTAGTATGTCCTTGGTTCTCAGGTTAGGATCTCTGTTATCCCCACCAAGTTAGGCCTCAAAGGCTAATGTCATTCGTTTGTTTGTTTTGGCAAGTCCCCAAGGATCAGAGGAGGGTTATTTTTTGCCTTTTTTTGTGTCCCTAGTGCTTACTTACCACAGTACCTGGAAACTAGTAGGTGCTTGATAAGCACTTGACTTGACTACAGAAATAGTGTACTTGGATTTCAGCAAAGCATTTGACAGCATCTGAGAGGCCAGGATCACTCTACTACCAAGATGTGGACAATACCCATTCATCTAAGTTCAATTGAGATAAGCCTGGGGTTTTTCAAAAGGAGCTTAATTAGGAAACTGAGGGAAAGCCCAAAGAAATGACAAAGTGAAACCCCGAAAGTCCAGAAGAGGAGGCATTCATTGAGCCCAGTGCCCTGGTCCTCCAGTGACCAGAGGCTCAGAAATACAGAGCATTGACAGCTCAGCTCTGTGGGCCTCTTCACCAGTCCTTGATCAGCTCTCTTCTGAATCCCACTGTTGGGAAGCCAGACCCCTCAGCACTGTCTCCCTTTCTTGGGGGCCACCAGATGGTTAGAAGATTAACGGGCAATCTCCAGTGGAGGAACCCTTCTCTGAGGCTACATCAGCCTGTAGCAACGTGCAGGGCAGACACTGAGGGCCTGGACTCTGACCAGAAGGTTGTGTGCATTGGCCCTCTCGGCTTCTCCTAAGCTCCTTGTTATACTTTTGACCAGAATGAAAGAGGGCAGGGAGGTGTCACTGATCACTCAGCCCTCCACTCCATAGGTTAATTGCTGCTGCCATCCACAAGCTCAGCTACTTATTTTAGGAAGACCTAGTCTCGCCTTGTCTTGGCTCAGTTAGAGGAGAAAAGGGTGTCTCTGTCCAAATCAGGGTATCTGGGGAAATAGAGGTCCAGAGACACTGGGCAAAGGAGCTGGCAGCAGCTGCCCTGGATAGGGGGTGGGTGGGGAAAGAAGGGAAAGCTCAGCTGAGGGGGTACAGGGACCCACCCACCCTACCTGGGCCTTACTCAGAGCACACAGCTTATAGACATAGGATCCCACAGAAGCAAGGGTCCAGCGGTGCCCAGCTTGGGAGCCAGCTGTCACTGAGAGTTCTGTCTAGTGTTCAAAGTCCTGTTTAGTCTCAGATCCCTGCAGTTGGAAGGAGTTATTCTCCATAGTGCCCACAGGAATCCCTCAGTCTGTTCCCTGTGTCTGCTGTACCCCATTTCCCCTGTGACTATGCCCTGGAGCCCCTTTGATAATAATAATAATAATTATAATTATAACTAGTATTTACATAGTGTTTTCAGATTTTGCCTCATTTTATCCTTACAACAATCCTGGGAGCTAGGTGCTACTGTTGTGTCCATTTTACAGATAAGGAAACTGAAGCAGAAAGAGGTCAAGTTAAGTGACTTGTCCAGGATCATACAGCTAGGAAATGTCTGAGGCTGAATTTGAACTCAGATCTTCCTAACTCCAGGTCCCATGTTCTATTTACTGTGCCACCCAGATGCCAGTCAAATTGCTTTGCCTGTGCCCCTCTCCGTGTCCCTCATAGCCCCAAGTCCCAGCCCTGTGATCTCTGTGTCCACCATTCCTTGTGTCCTGGCGCGGGACCTCCTGTGAGGATGTAGTGCTCTGTGGCTCTAGGGGAAGAGGCCCAGCTGGTACGGGAGCAGCTCGAGGAGCTGCGGGTGAGGTTGCTGCTGGCTGGACAGAGTGGGGCCCATATCAGACTGCGGCTGGAGCAGACTCTGGAGGCGGCCACTCGACTGCGGCCATCTGGAGAGCCACCACCGCCTGCAGCCTGGCTGGGAAGGCTGGAGCAGGCATGGGCAGCAGATGAGCCTGGCGAGCAGGAAGACAGAGAGCAGGTGCCTGGGGAGGATGCAGGTGGGGAGGGTGGGGATAGAGTGACCGGCACATCAGTGGGATGGGAGGAAAGGGAGGGGGCATTGCAAGGCACAGGGAGACAGCCCCTCCTTCCACTCTCTTTCCCTTTTCCCTGCCTCAGTTGCGGAAAGCCATAGAGGAGGAACTGGGTCGCCTGGACATGCTTGGCAAGCGGGTGGAAGAGCTGAATGGAGTGACCCTGGAGGCTTCTGCACTTCAGGCCCAGCTGGGCCAGCACAAGGTGGGCCCTCCTGTACCTATTGACCAACAATCACCTGTAACACTTATTACCTATGACTTTTGGCAAATCCCTTACATGTCTAGGCCTCAGTTTCCCATCTGTAAAATGAGAGTGTTTGACTAGATGGCCTCTGTGAGGCTCTAGAACCAGGCACTCTGATATTATGATCTCCGCCATTCCAGGGACAGATAGATGGTTAGGTGGGGACAGACATCACTCACTGACCCCGGGGATTGGGAGGGGCCGGGAAGAGGCTCCACTTTCCCTACCAAGGGGCAGAATAGGCAGAATAGGGAAAGAGAGGAGAGTGAACCCCTCCATTCCTAAAGGGGCCTCCCCTGTCCTCCCCCACCGTGTGACTCTCATCTGCCTCTTTTCTCCCCTTCCTCCTTCAAACCTGCCTCTCCTCTTGAACTTACCAGCTGCTGGCTGCGGAACTCTTGCAGCAGCAGGAGTTAAGGACCCGCCTCCTGGGACTCTTGGGGGCTGGAATTCCCAGCCTCTGCCCCTCTGAGGAAAAAGAACAACTAGAGGTAAGTGGTGGGACCATGGTCTCTCCCCGCCTGGGGTCCTAAGAGTTAAGCCTGCTCTCTGGGTCCTGTCTGCAATATGGCCTGGTCATCACTGCCCCCACCCCAGGAAAAGGCAGCAAGAAGAGGACACTGCCCCCTGATGTCCGGTGGGGCCCGTTCTCACTATCTCCCCCTTCTCTCCCCTCCGTAGGGGCCACAGCTAGACAGTGTCCTCCCCTCTGTGTACCCCTCTTTGTCTTTGTTCCACCTTCCTAGATCCTATTAACCCAGGACTTTTGATCTTCCTATTGACCCACCAAGTTTATTCATTCATTTAATGATTTGGACAGTAAGGACAGTAAGGGTCACTAAGTCCTGATTTCATCTAGAACAGCTCTCATTTGATTAATGTCATTTCCTTTTCTGATAAGGTACCTAGACTGGTAGATCAGAGGAGTTCTGTTTTTTGCCTTTCTTTGTATCTTTGTATTTGCTTAGCACAATAGCTGGAACATAGTAGGTGCTCAAAAAATGTTTTGATTTGACTTAATGACTCCAGCACCATATACTTGAATTTCAGCAAAGCATTTAACAAAGTCTATCATGCTATCTTTGTGGAAAGGGTTAAGAGATACAGACGAGTGAAAGTTCATTTAGGCATGGATTCAAAGCAGATTCAATGACTAGTTCCCTCCAAATATTTATTAATAGGTCAGTGAAGTCTCTATCGGAATGCCTCAAAGATCTGTCCTTGAGCCCTATGTTTTTCAACAAATTTATCTATCATTTGGATAATAGCATAGATGTGGCTACTTCGCAAATTTGCAAATGACACAAAGCTGTGAGAAATTGCTCACACATTGGACGATGAAGTCAGGACCGAAAAAGAACCAGATAGGCTAAAATGATAGCCTGAGATTTCATAAGATGAAATTTCATGGGAATAACTGTAAAAATCCCACCCTTGGGTTCAGATAATTAACTTCATAGAGAAGAGATGGGGAAAGCACGGTAAGACAAGCTATTAATCAAGGGGTTTTCGTAACTGTAATGTCAAGGAAAGTCAATAGTGTGACATTGCTGCCCCAAAAGCCAATGTGATCTTAGAAGAGAGAGTATCCAGAATGAGGGAAGGTGTGTGTGTGTGTGTGTGTGTGTGTGTGTGTGTGTGTGTGTGTGTGGTGGGGGAAGCATGTGTGTGTAGAGGTGTGGAGGAGGTAGGTGATAGCCTTGCTATTCTCTGCCCTGCTCAGACCACGTTTGCAGTATTATGTTTAGTCCTGGATGCCATATTTTAGGAAGGAGAAGAATGTACAGAGGAGGGTGACCAAGATGGTGCCCTCCCAAGGGTGGTGCCCTTAGTGGAGATCATGCCATCCAATCCAAAGATTTATTAAGCACCCAATGTGTGGCAATGAATTAGTATACTGGATCGAGTGCTAAATTTGAGGTCAGAAAGACCTGATTTCATGTCTTGCCTCATACTTACTAGTTGGGTAACCCTGAGCAAGTCCCTTAGCCTGACTGCCGCAGGTTCTTAACCCATAAAATGAAGATAATAGAACACCTACCTCCCAGGTTTGTTATAAGGATCAAGTAAGATCATACTTGTAAAATCTTTAGTATAGTGCTTGGCACATAGTAAGTGCTATATAAATGTTAGCTATCATTATCATCATCATTAGTACTATTATCTAGGTGTTGAGGATCCAGAGGAAAAACAGAACAAAACAAAACAATCCCAACCTTTGAGGAGCTTACATCATGGTGGGAGGTGGGGATGAGGTGGGGAAAGGGGACCTACATGTAGACAGATAAGTTTGTACGTGATGATTTGAGGACGGAAACAATGCTAACAACTAGGGTGAATCGAGAAAGGTCGCCACTAGGTGGTGAGACATGAGCTGAGCCTCAAAGGAAGCAAAGGGTAAAGAAGTGCATTCTCAAGGCCTAGGGGGCAGTCTGTACCAAGGTACCAAGGCAGGAGATGGGATGCCAAGTTTGGGAACCAGCCAATGGGCCTGTTTGACTAGAATGTGGAGATGTGTGAAGGGTAGTGATGTGCAATCAGCCTGAGAAGGCAGGCTGGGGCCAGCCTGTGCAGATTCCAAAGGAGAATCTAATGAAGGAACTAGGGAGATGTAACTTGCAGAAGACTAGGTTGGGACATGCTAGGTATTTTCAATTATTTATTGGAAGGCTATTAAGTTTTTTCTGCGTGGCCCCAGAAGGGAGAACAAGGAGCAATCTGTTCAGTTACAGAGAGTCAGATTTAAGTTTGATTTAAGGAATAATTTCCTAATGATGAAAACCGTCAAAAAAAGCGGGGGCGGGGGAGGGAGGAGATGGATTGGTCTACCATCACTGGAAATTTTCAAGTTGAGGTTAGTTGGCTACTTGTTGGCTATGATGTAGAAGAGATTCGTGGTCAAATGCAGGTTGGACTAGATGGTCTCCAAGATCCCTTCCAACTTGAAGATTCAATTAATGTTCATTCAATAATATTTTTAAAAAACAACTACTATACCCAGAGCCCTGAGCTGATACAGTTTCAAGGGGAAAAGGCTCACTTTCTCATACAGCTTATATATAAGTATAGGATATGACCCATAGACAGATAACAATAATACATGACACACCATGATAAGTGCATCACAGAAGGCAAAGTACTCTATGAAACCTGATGGAGAAGGGTATTACCAGTAGTAAATCAGGGAAGGTTTCCTGGAGAAGATGTCAGTTGAGTTAGTCCTTAAAGGATGAATAGAAATTCAACAGGCAAAGATGGGAAGGGACCAGGCATGTAGTGTCTTCTGATTCTGCATGTCCATCAGTGTCCTTGAGTTAGTCCTGCCCCATTTCACTTGCAGTCCCTAAGCTCCTAAGTTGGGTATACTCCATCTCCTCTTGTGCTGTCTATAGGAAGAACTGGAGCTCCTTCGAAGTCGAGCTCAGGAGGTACAACAAAACAGTACTGCAGGAGTGCTGTGCCGGGAGCGGGCCCTGTCCCTGCTAGCCCAGTTTGCAGAGGCCCAGGGTGAATTGGCCCCATGGCTGGAAGAGGCCCAGGACATTGTGGCCCATCTCAACCCTCATGCAGCTGCTGGCAGCCCTGAGTCCTGCAGAGAGCAGCAGGAACTGCTACAGGTGAGTGCGGGGGAGAAGGGACCGGACTGGGCACCTGTTTCTGGAGACCTGAGTAAGGAGACCTTAGTGGAGACAGCTAGGTAGGAAGATTATTACTTAGCAGTAGAATGGGGTGGGGATCGTCCTGTTCTCTTAATAAGAACTGCCTTGTCTGAAGGACTGTGTGGAGTAGTGGTAAGAACCCTGGATTTGAACCCAGAGGATCTGGCAAGTTACTTAACCTCTGTGGGACTCAGTTTCCTCTCTGTAAAATGAGAGGGTTGGAGCAGATGACCTCTGAAATCCCTTCCAGCTCTAATCTTATAAAAAAAAAAAAGAGGCATTGTCCCTAATTTGGATTTCCCTTGGCTTCTCCTCTCCTAGCCTTCGACTTGACCAGCCAAAAGGAGCCCAGGCTAGGATTACTCATGACATGGTATGCCAGTACTGGTCCCAGCCTCAGTTCCCACAGTTTCTGGCAGCTTTCTGTCCATGACAGCCTGCTCCCCATCTTCAGAAGGCCTCCTTTTGATGTTTACCCACCAGCTTTTAAAGTCCTAGTGCCTACATCTCCGATTGTCTCTCCTCATCCTCTCCCTGACCCTCCTCTTCTCCAAGTCCTTTATCTGGAGACCCGAGGCTGTCTTCTGAGTGGACTTTAATTAAAAATGTTTATTAGAGATCCAGAGGGTCTGAGGGGAAGGGGAGGACAACAAATGCCCTGGAGGCTGGACCTTGACTGATGAGTGATGAAAGCCCCTGGAGTTGGGGGCTGGAGTGTCTCGATGACCTTTGTCCCCTATCACTGGGTCTGTCTGTCCCGCAGCATCTGCGAGAGGCTATTGCAGAGCACAGACCCCTGGTGGGGAAGCTGCAGCGGGTGTTCATGCAGCTGAAGGACCTAAATCCAGGCCACAGCACACCCTTCCAGGAAGCCTGGAGGGCCGCTGAGGAAGAGTTGGGGGCCCTGAGGGCCCGAGTGGACAGCGTGGCAGCCACTCTGGGGCAGACTGTGCCCCAGTACACTCAGGTGAGGGAAGGCAAGGCATGAATGGGAGCGGGGCATAGGATGGGGTAGGGAGGGGCGTGGCTAAGGGAAGGGCTGGGAAGGGGACAGAGTGGAGCTAAAGGTGTAACCAAAACTGGTCCAGAGATGGAGACACAGACTTTGGAAAGAGGGATGAAAGTGTAGACAGGATTGAAGAGGGTTATTTGTCACCAAGGTGAGCAGATAGTCACAGCAATGCCCTTCTGTCCCCTTCTTCCCATATTCCCAGCTGAGCGAAAGGCTGGCCCGGTTGGCAGAGCAGTTAGAACAACTGGCCCGGAGAGTGGAGAACGTGGGGACTGTGCGGGCTGATGCCCAGCGCATCCGGGAGCAGCTTCGGGAGCAGAGCCTGCTGCTGAATGAGCTAGAGCCCGTGGGAGCAGCACTGGACACTGCCCGGGCTCGAGCCCAGGAACTGGGGGCTGGGGTCACTGGGACCCTGGATGAAAGCCCCGAGGCTGGGCTAGGGCCTCGAGGTAGGAGGCTGGGCTGACTGGCAGGGCTAGGGGCCTACCCAGGATGTGGGATGGGCCAGACTGAGCCAGGCCAGACCAAGATGGGGCATCTGGGGTTCTCCTCTGGCTGCTTGTCTTATAGAGTGGCTGGACCGGGGGTCCTCTCCCCTTATCCTGTCCCATCCTCTATTAGCAGTGCTTCAGGCTGAGGCAGATCGCTTATGGGACCGCTGGTCAGGGATGCAGGCTGCAGCCCAGGAACGGGCCAACTGGCTGCGGGTTGTGTTAGCGCTGGCCGAGCAGTTCTGGCAAGGCCTAGCTGACTTGGCCACCAGTCTGGCTGATACCCAACATCTGGTGCTGCATATGGAGGACGCAGGGCCAGAGCCTGAAGGCATCCGGAGCAGGCTTAGTGCCATGCAGGTATCTGCTGGACCATATGGGGGTAAGGGTGCCCACTCCTTCCTTTTTTTCTCTTCTTCTTTATTTTTTTCCATTCACCTCCAGATCCCAGAAAATTCCTAGGGGCAATTTCATTCCCAGGAGGGGTTGGGCACTGGGACCTTTGTGAGTAGGGTCTTTGGGGACGAGGAAGACTGTGGTCAATGCCTACAAAGCTTAGACTTAAAGGTCGAGATGACCTTAATGACTACCCTCTCTCTCCCCAGGCATTGAGAGAGGAGGTAGATGGACTACAGAGTGAGCTGGATGCCCTGGGAGCCCTTGGCCTGGAACTTCTGTCTGCCTGTGGGGATGGGGACCGGCCTGAGGTGACGCGAAGCATGGATGAGGTGAATGGGACTGGAAGGGGGATAGGGAAGGAAAGACTTGTGGGGCACAGATAGGGGGGCAGGGCTATTTCCCAGAGGGGCTATTACTAAAGGTCTCAACTCACACAGATTTGTGGCCTCATCGATTTGTATGGTTCCCTCCAATGATGCAGATCGCAGGCCATCCATGCCTGTCCATCCCTTTCTGAAATTTTAGTCCTCCTATAAATGTGCCACAGGTACTTTGTCCATGGTGCTGGAGCTCCTTCTTTGCATTCTCCTAATATCTTGAACTGGCTGCTCACCTCCCATCCCTTGCCCTCAGCACATGACCAGACCGTCAATGATCATCCATTTCCCTAATAACATCCTTTTCTCTCTCTCTCTCTCTTCTCTCTCTCTCTCTCTCTCTCTCTCTCTCTCTCTCTCTTTGGTCTAGGCAATGGGGTTAAGTGACTTGCCTAGGGTCACACAACTAGTAAGTGTTATGTGTCTGAGACTGGATTTGAACTCAAGTCCTCCTGACTCCAGGGCCAGTGCTCTATCCACTCCTAATGACATCCTTTACTCCTGTGCTCCAGAGTCCCTTGTTTGTTAGGTATTATAGCTTGCTCATGCCCACGAGATACCTCTCCATTGCCCTCTGTATTTTAGTCCATGAGCATTTATTAACCACCTAGTGTGCCAGGCACTGTACTAAGCACAGAGGATACAGAGAAAGACAGAAGGCAGTCCCTACTCTCAAGGAGTCTAATGGGAGAGACACCACACTTGTTTGCAACTACGTGCAAACAAGAGATATCCAGGAGAAATGGAAGATAATCTCCGAGAGAAAACATGGGAATTAAGAAGCAACGGGAAATGTGTCCTGTAGGAGGTTGGATTTTAGCTGAGGCTTGAAGGAAACTAGGAAAGCCAAGAGATGGAAGCAAGGAGGTAGAGAATTTCAGGCACGGGAGACAGACAGTACAAATGCCCTGAGTGAAGAGATGAAGTATCTTGTGTGGGGAATAGGAAGGAAGCCAATGTCTCTAGAACACAGACTATGAGGAGGAGAGTAAGGTTTCAAGGAGCCTGGGAAGGTAGAAGGGGGCCAGGTTATGAAGAGATGTGTACGATATTCATTATTAATTTTCAGTTCTTTGGAGACCCTCGTGTTCCATTGAGGTCACAGTGAGGCCATAAACAAAGCTGACAGAACACTGGTATTTAAAAGACAGGCCTTTGTTTCTAGGGGAAGTTTAAGGTCGTTAAAGGAGCTCTGTGGTTTCCTGAAAGAAATTCAGCCACTTTCCTCTTCCTGTTTAATCCTGGACCCAGCTGTACATTTTTACCGCCTGTCCATACTGACAGACAAGCTCTATAGACTGTCCATCCAACTGCATTTCACAGTTTGGGAAACAGACGCACTACCTTTATCCAAGGTAGCCAGAAAATTCGGTGTGATCTTAGACTGAATTCGAAGAGGAATAGTGTCCAAGATGACAGAGCAATAGTCCTATCATGCTCTATCCTAATCAGACCACATCTGGAATGTTGTGTTCACTTCTAAACCTCTCAACTACAACTAAGTAACACAGACTATTGAGTGATGGGCCTGAAATCAGGAAGACAAATTCAACTCTAGCCTCAATCTTTACTGGCTGTGTGACCCTGAACAAGTCACTTAACCACTGTTTGCCCCAGTTTCCTCATCTGTAAAATGGGGATAATAATAGCAGCTATCTCCCAGGGTCGTTGTGAGGACCAAAGGAGGTAATAATTGCAAAGCACTTAGCACAGAGCCTAACACATAGTAAGCACTATATAAATATTAGCTATTTTATTAGAAGTGGTAGGGCACCCCATCAGAGTAGTGAATACCCCATTACTGGACATCTTTAAAATATTTTTTTCAAAGAATAAAAATCGGTTTCCTCCCCCTCCCATTCCCTTCTCCAATTAAGAAAAAGAAAAGAAAAGAAAAACCCTTGTAATAAATATTCACAATCAAGTGAAACGTGTCACATCATAGGAAGCACTTTGACAAACCAGAAAATGTCCAAAGGAAGGTGACTGGGTAATCTTGGGGACTTCTACCTACTTCTGAGAAGAATCACTTAAAATGGAAAGTCTTAAACAGCAGAGAGGATGGGGACATAATAGCTATAAGCATCTGAAATATTTCAAGTATTTGAATGATGGTCATATGGTGGAGGGATTAGACATGTTCAGCTCGGGGCCCAGAGGGCAAAGTAGAAACAATAGGTAGGAAGCATGCAGATGGCAGATTTTTTCAACTTCATATAAGGACAAGTTTCCTACCAGGCAGAGCTTCTAAAAAGTAGCATGAGTTGTCAGAGGCTTCAGTGAGCTCCCCATCACTGGAAGTCTTTCTAATGGAGGCTGGATGACAACTTTAGAGAGATGAGGTAGAGGGGACTCTTATTGAGGGATCAATTGAGCCTTAAAGGTCTCTTTTAGTTGAATCAATCAAGAGCTGGCCAATGATGATGACACAATCTTGGGCTACATTTAGAGAAGCAGAGAGACCAGAACTTGGCAGGGCATAGAATTATCCATCATATTTTGTCGTGGTCAGACCACATCAAGAATATTGTGTTCAGTTTTTGGCACCACATTTCGGAAGGATTTTAATAAACTAGAGAGTGTCCGGAGGAGGGCAGCCAGAATGATGAAGGGCCTTGAAATCATGCCGCAAGAGAATCGGTTAAGTGAACTGAAGATATCGAGCCTACAGAAGTGAAAATTTAAGGGAGGGAAGACTTCTGTCTTTATATATTCAAAGGGCTTTCATGTAGAAGGATGAGATGTGTTGGGCTTGGTCCCCTAGTCAGTGGTGGTTTTTTTTTTAAAGGCTTTTTGAATATTTATTCAAACAAGTGAAACAGCTGATATTAAAAGATGTCTCCTAGTAGCTTCTTAATGGTTAACATTCTTTTTTTTTTTCATAACTAATTTTCTTTCTTGGTTAACCATGTCCCAACTTTCTGAGTCAACAAGCATTTGTTAAATGCTTACTAAGTTGTACCAGGCACTATGCTACAACCTGAGGACACAAAGAAAGGAGAATCTTGCCCTCAAGGAACTCAGAGTCTAATAGGAGAGATAACATGCCAATAACTAAGTGGAGCAGGGATAGTGCCAGGACCTGGGATTTCATTGGTATAGAGGAAATTCCCTCTACCAGCATAAATCAGTACTTTTGGTTTGATTTATAGTCCTAGAGATTTGCCTCAAGTACTAAAAGGTCAAGGGACCTACCCAGGGTCACATAACCCACATGTGTCAGAGATAAGACTTGAGATTAGGTCTTCCTGCCTGTAGGGCCAGCAACAAAATAAATAGAGTATATTGGAAGATAGTCTCAAAGCAGAAGGTATGAGTCTGGTGGGTTGGGAGGTTGGGAAAGCAGGAAAGGTCTTCTGAAGAAGATGAGATGTGAGTTCCCATCCAGGTCTGAATCAATGATCCTGCAATCCTAAGTGCCTTACCCAGGATCAGAGAGTTTGAAAGCGGTGAAGTTTGGGCTCAAAATCAGCAGCAATGGGTAGAAACTGCAGAGATAATATAAAGAAAAACATCTTTATGATGAGAGCTGTCTAGAAGTGGAATGGGCTGCCTTAAGAAGTAGCGGGTTTCCTTCTTACTGGAAATCTTTTAGCAAAGGCTGGATCAATTAATCAATCAATAAACAGGATAACTTGTATAAGAGATTCTCATTCAGATTTGTGTTTAGCAGATGGCTTCTGTGGTCTCTTCCAACCTTGAAATTTTGTGATTCTAACTGAGAGTCTATGATTTTGTTATCACCTTATAAGTATATAACTATCCTTTGAATTCAAGAATTACCAAGGAATTGAGATCAAAGTTATTGGGTTAGAGTTTGAAGAATGAGACTTCTTCCCCTTCTGGAAAACCAAGGTGACACTCGCCTGTCTCTAGTTATGTGGTACCTCTCTAGGTCTCCATGTTTTGTTTTGTTTTGTTTATCATAAATTAGCACATTCCTCAGTTCTGTCAGGACCCTGAGATATAGTTCATTTGAGGCTGGTAACTTGGATTCATTGAGGAAAGCTAGGGTTTACTTAGGGGATTTCAGTTTTCTGTTAAGCATTTTTCTTTTATCCTTTTTATTTCAAAGATTAATCTCCTTGGAAGAGAAGACAGAAATAAGAGCAGAGTCATTCTCTCTTTTTCCTATCATCCATCGTCGTCTTCCCATCCACCCCCAGGTTGCAATTCTATCTTTCTTGTTCCTCCTCCTGTCACCATCAAATCTAACAAAGCTCTTTCTGTTGTTTCTAGTATCATAGGTCTCTGCCTCATCAAAGCCTTAGCTTTCCTGATTTTTTTGTTTGTATGTCTGTCTGTCTCCCTATCTTGTGCAGGATGGAAGTGCACTCAAAGGTCCAAACCCAATACTGATTGGCCCAGAAGCTTTGACCTGCTTCATTGTCTGACCTGGACTGGTTTCCCTCTCTTTAGGCAACCTAATGTACCTGTATTCCCAGGGGCTCAGTATATTGGCAATGGAAATAGTGTAGACACCCACTTGGCTACAGCCTACTGTACCTCAGAACTACCGGGCTCAAGCAATCCCTTTAGTGTCTTCCTCTTGAACGGCAGGGACTACGTATAGCTAGGTGGGACAGTATATAGAGCACTGGTCCTGGAGTCAGGAAGACCTGAATTCAAATGTGGCCAGAAGATTATTTAGCTGGTGTGATCCTGGGCAAATGACTTAACTGCTATCTGCCTCAGTTTCCTCAGCTGTAAAATGGTGCTTATAATAACACTACCTCCCAAGGCATTGTAAGGATCAAATGAGATAATTATCATAAAGTGCTTCGCACATAGTAAGCATTATATATAAACTTTAGCTATTATTCCGTGCCATCAGACCTGGCTCCTAATACTACTCTTAATAGGACCTTAGTACTCCTTTGCTGTTATCCCAAGTTTACCTGTTCTTCTTCTATTATTCAGTATGTATTTTCTTGAAATCTGATTTCATTAGT